GAAGGAAAGAGGGCTAGGTCATGGGCAAAGAGAGCTGTGTGCCACTTGTGCTGAAATCTGGGAAATAGACGTGCACAGTATGATGCACAAGGGTAATATGGGTTGTCCATATTGAACCGCAGTGGGTAAACCGCAGTTGGCGGGCTCCGCCCGCCTGCTAGGAGCCCTTGCAGCGATGAAATCACCAATGGCGGGCTCCGCCCGCATGCTCAGAGCCATTGCAGTGATGAAATTACAAATGGCTATGAGCAATATTCCAGAATGTATGAGTGTGTATAAGGAAGAGGCTTTTATTCTGTAGAGTCCCTGTAGTGTTATTTTGAAAGCCTATCATGGATGTGCATCAAAAGATGGGTCATGCCCAGCAGTGATATAGAATCCATTTCCAAATGTTAAATCACTGGGTTTCCATGTTATTAGGTGAATAGCTGCTGTATTACAGAGTAAATGGGAGACTTTTATTGTGAAATTTGCTCTGGGGTGTGTTTTGAAAAGGTCACTAGAGTCTAATAAAAACAACCTGGAAGAGTTTGGGTCATAATGTTGAGCCATTTGCATCAATTATTGCATTAGTATAATCTAGAGGCTTTTATTTTGTAGGGTCCCTGGAGTCTTATTTTGAAAGTCCAACAGAGTTGTGTTTAGAGAAAATGTTCAGACCCAGCAATGATAGTTGATGACTTTCCAATCGTTAAATCACTCTTTTTTCCATGTTATTAGGGCAGTAGATGAAGATGAAATGGGAGGCTTTTATTTTGAAATTTGCCTTAGGGTGTGTTTTAAACAGTCTCCTAGAGTCTATTCTCTAAAATGGGGTTGAGTTTGGGTCATAATGTTGAGCCATATAGGGCAATAAATATATGTAAAAAATATAGAGGCTTTTATTTTGTAGGGTCCCTGGAGTCTTATTTTGAAAGTCTATCAGTGTTGAGTGGCAAGGGAAGTGTCATGGACAGCAGTCATATAGTATCCATTTCCCAATGTTAAATCAGTGCTTTCACCCTCCATTAGATTAATATGTGCTGTTTAAAACAGCAGAGGTAAAATCTCTTTGAAGCACGGTTACCTTGACAACGCTTAACGAGCCTGTCAGTGACAGAGAGAAAAGCGCAGCACTATCGTTCCTTCGCTCTCAGGCTTTTTTGAATGGGAGGAACAGCTCCGAACAAACGACTGCTGAGCAAAAACCGTATGAGTTATTCAAAAAATGTCTTCACCGTGAGCATCAGCAATCCTCCGACTCCTACTATGCCAACTTTGGTGTATGTGTGTCTTTCAGAACAATATTTATGACGAGTTGAAAACACATAATTTTCATTCGTTTTCTCCCCACTGCTGCTCCAAAAACCCAAAGAAAAACGGTCTGATTTTTATGACTTTAGGTCGGTTTTGGGGGTTTTTAAAAGGGAAAAAAATTAATCCTTCCATTTTTCCCAAGGGCTTTTTGGGGGGTCCAGAGGTTTTCAGCCTAAAATGACCAAAAAAAAGGGGGACTGTAGCTCCAAATTTTGTGGCCGTGAGGCAAGGAAAAATTTTTTTATCTTAAAAAAAAATGGCTGCCTCAAACTAAGAGTTCAGCAGCTGACTGTAGCAGGTGCTGCAGAAGCTAACTGTCGCTAGCTTCCAGGCGTTTGGGTTGTGAAAGACCTACAGACATGAAAGTTACCCCAGTCTGAGACAAATGATAGATGTTGCTTTCACTGAAAGAATTTTTCAGATACCTTTTATGGTTTTTGCTCAGCAGTCGTTTGTTTGGAGGGTAAGCACCTGGAAGCTAGCTGACAGTGAGCTTCTGCAGCAGCCTGCTACAGTGCAGCTGCTGAACTCTTAGTGTGAGGCAGCCATTTTTTTTAAGATAAAACATTTTGTTCTTGCCTCACGGCCACATATTTGGAGCTACAGTCACCATTTTTGGTCAGTTTGTAGGCTGAAACCTCTGGACTCACACAATGTCTTCGGAATTACGGTAGGATTAATACTTTTCCTTAAAAAGCCTCCAGACCGACCTAAAGTCGATCAAAATCAGAGCCGTTTTTCATTGGTTTTGGAGCAGCAGTGGGGAGAAAAACGAATGACATTATGTGTTTTCAACTCGTCATAAATATTGTTCTGAAAGACACACATACACCAAAGTTGGCATAGTAGGAGTCGAAGGATTGCTGATGCTCACGGTGAAGACATTTTTTGAATAACTCATACGGTTTTTGCTCAGCAGTCGTTTGTTCGGAGCTGTTCCTCCCATTCAAAAAAGCCTGAGAGCGAAGGAACGATAGTGCTGCGCTTTTCTCTCTGTCACTGACAGGCTCGTTAAGCGTTGTCAAGGTAACCGTGCTTCAAAGAGATTTTACCTCTGCTGTTTTAAACAGCACATATTAATCTAATGGAGGGTGAAAGCACTGATTTAACATTGGGAAATGGATACTATATGACTGCTGTCCATGACACTTCCCTTGCCACTCAACACTGATAGACTTTCAAAATAAGACTCCAGGGACCCTACAAAATAAAAGCCTCTATATTTTTTACATATATTTATTGCCCTATATGGCTCAACATTATGACCCAAACTCAACCCCATTTTAGAGAATAGACTCTAGGAGACTGTTTAAAACACACCCTAAGGCAAATTTCAAAATAAAAGCCTCCCATTTCATCTTCATCTACTGCCCTAATAACATGGAAAAAAGAGTGATTTAACGATTGGAAAGTCATCAACTATCATTGCTGGGTCTGAACATTTTCTCTAAACACAACTCTGTTGGACTTTCAAAACAAGACTCCAGGGACCCTACAAAATAAAAGCCTCTAGATTATACTAATGCAATAATTGATGCAAATGGCTCAACATTATGACCCAAACTCTTCCAGGTTGTTTTTATTAGACTCTAGTGACCTTTTCAAAACACACCCCAGAGCAAATTTCACAATAAAAGTCTCCCATTTACTCTGTAATACAGCAGCTATTCACCTAATAACATGGAAACCCAGTGATTTAACATTTGGAAATGGATTCTATATCACTGCTGGGCATGACCCATCTTTTGATGCACATCCATGATAGACTTTCAAAATAACACTACAGGGACTCTACAGAATAAAAGCCTCTTCCTTATACACACTCATACATTCTGGAATATTGCTCATAGCCATTTGTAATTTCATCACTGCAATGGCTCTGAGCATGCGGGCGGAGCCTGCCATTGGTGATTTCATCACTGCAATGGCTCTTAGAAGGCGGGCAAAGCCCGCCAATGGTGATTTCATCACTGCAATGGCTCTTAGCAGGCGGGCGGAGCCCGCCATTGGTGATTTTTTTCATCACTGCAAGGGCTCCTAGCAGGCGGGCAGAGCCCGCCAACTGCGGTTTACCCACTGCGGTTCAATATGGACAACCCATATTACCCTTGTGCATCATACTGTGCACGTCTATTTCCCAGATTTCAGCACAAGTGGCACACAGCTCTCTTTGCCCATGACCTAGCCCTCTTTCCTTCCCTCAGCAGCCCTCAAAGGCGTAAGCAGTTGGTCTGGGGAGCCCCAATGTCACTTGCCAGGGCCGTATTGGCCCAGTTACCCAGACGGGCAGTAGGTGGCCCCCCTCAAAATTTCTTTAGAAATTTTCTAGTTCATGTATTTATTACAAAGTATTAATCAAACCTGGCAGCTGGCCGTGAGACAGACACATCGCAGATGACACAGCGCTGTGATCACTCCTAAATTAACTTAAAATCCTGAAACCTGCCGACAGAATATGTTTGCTTTTATTACCGGTATCCTGGTGCCTGCAGTTTCAATTATTTAGATGAAAAACACCTGCCAGCAGCCGCGGTGAACGAAAGGATTTCTGCTGTCGGTGCACCGCTGGTATGTGGGGGTCTGAGCGCCTCTGACAGAAATAGATAATCTGGATGAACTGACTGCAATTATGAAGTTTTCAGGTGGCCTTTCTCACTTAAAAACATATTAAAACTACTTTATTCCCACTGATCACAGCAAATATAGCTGCAAGATTAAGATTATTTAGATGAAAAAACACCTGCCAGCCACCGCGGTGAAGAGGAGGAGACGCGCCCAGAGGCTGCTGTTGAATTAAGTTTTCAGGTAGAAAAATAGAGCAGGAGCAAAACTGAGTATGATTGTGCTTTATTCATGTATTTATTACAAAGTATTAATCAAACCCATCAAAGTCATCATCCTCTGTTTCTGAATTAAACAGCTGCGCTAAATCAGACATGCCAGTTTCCCCTTCTTCGCTGTCAGAGTCACTTTCTGTGCAGCGCAGCTCCTCAGAAATAATGCCGGCTTTTGCAAAAGCTTGAAGAACAGAGCCAGCAGACACGTTATTCCAAGCATCTACAATCCATCCGCTAACGGTGGCGTAACTTGCCCGGCGCTGCCTTCCACTTATCCTGAAACTGTGGTCTCCGTCGGCCATCCATCGCTCCCACGCCGCTCGCAGCCTTACTTTGAACGGGCGCTTCACACCGATGTTGGGCGGTTGAAGTTCCTTTGTCAGACCCCCCGGGATAACGCCGAGCACAGCGTTCATTGATTCACCTTTTTTTTCACATCAGCTGTGAGATGTGAAAAAAAAGGTGTGTTAAATACAGAAATGGGACACATAACTGAGAGTGCGCCTTTTAGTCCGGTGCGCCTTATGGTCGTGAAAATACGGTACAGATTAATGGTGATGAGTGGAAAAAAAAACACCTGGTCTCCTTACATTCAGCCACTCTTTCATCATCTCCTCAATGAGGTGGTCTCAAAAGTCGCAGTTACAACACACATAGGGTGCACCGCACCATAGGGCGCACCGCACATTTTGAGGGGAAAAAAGACATTTAAGTGCGCCTTATAGTCGTGAAAATACGGTAGACAGGTGAATGAAATGAGTTATTAAGCCAGTCATCGGTGCCAAGATCAGGACAATATTTTATTTATGTTTATCTTTCATTGTGTTATCTGGTGGACAATAGTTAGACAAAAGTGATTTTCCCCTTCTTGTTTTCAGAATCAGCTGAATTAGGCTATAACCACATTCACAATCAAGGAGTTTGACTTTGGAAACAGCTGGCAGTCCTTTTCCTGACCCTTTATCTGTACAAGTCCTGGATTTAGAGGGGTCAGACTGGATGATCCTTCCATTAGACCTGATTGTTGTACTCTACACCTGCCTTGTTTTGTGAAAATACCAAACCATGCAGTAAAGGGTGAAAACAGGATGGACAAAAATATTCCTGGGTAGAAGATGATGTTGGTGGTTTTACTTCTTTAGTATCCACAGGATGTATAGTCTCTGCTGGGCCTTCATTGTGTAAAGACTGGGGTGGATCTTAAGCACCAAAAGCGATCTTCAGCCAACAATGTGTTGTAGAGGATGAAGGGGTGAGGATGTGTGAACGACAAAGTTTGAGGTGGTTCTGATTCAAATCCTGTCCCTATGCAGGATCGTCAGTGTACCGAATCAGACACTAGGCAGTAGCATCGTCTTGAAACTTCAGGGGTTTCACAAATGCATGCAGACATTGGCTACAGAAAAAAGAAGAGTGGGAAGACAACACATCTCTAGGGAATGCTATCAGGAGGCCTTTATGGGTGTAATTCAACATAGATACAGGTCATGAGTCACAGTATGGCCAACACCATCTGGCAAAGATGGTAATTAACTGTTTCCTTTACAAAGACTTCATAGAACAGTTTATATAATTACATCTTGAGTAAAAACTAAAAACAGAACTAGACTTGATTTACCATTTCTACCTTTGTACAGGATATCTATAAAAGTTTTAACTGCACAGGAAACGGCTAACACCTGTTCTCTGTCTTACTATTCTATGTAAATTAGACAAAGGCAGGGTTATAGTCATTCAGTTTCACTTCTACATCAGTTTGGGTTACAGTATTTAAAGAGCAGGAAACCAAGCAGGTGGCAGCGTGATGCCAAATACAATTTCTATTGCTTAATTCCACTTATGTGTTACTGCTAATATGCAACAAAGCCGCTAAAACACTCATAAAAACAAGACACAAAAAGCTGTCATATATTGCTGTCAAATGGAGCCTAAAAGTCATTTTCATAGATATGTGCATTAAGTGGAGGAGAAACCGCTTTTTTTTTCTGGCATTTTCCTGTAAAATGAATAAAAAAAGTTTACTTAATTACCTTTAAAAAGACATGATAATAAACATGCTGTCTTTGTGTTTATATAAGAGGCCTACCTTTAGCCACAAGATGTGATACAACACACATAGTGGTGACTATAATGACAAAAATCAAAAATACACGAAGGTTGTTTATAAAAATGGGGACGTTGTCCGAAAGGGTGGAGTTCTCTGCAAGATAAAAATCTTTATATTAGCATCAAGGAGGCTTTTAAATGCAATTTAAAATCTTGCTTAGCATAAATTATTTTAGATTTGACAGCATTTGCAAAAGTATTCACCACAATTTTTTTATATAAATGTAATGTTAATACTTTAGTGTCCTAGAATGGGGAAATTAACTTTTCCCCACGTCCGGGGAGCAGTCTGGGGTTAATTGTCTTGCTCAGGGACCCAGAGTGGCAGTCTGTGGGAGTTTGTGGTACTTAAACTCAGAACTTCCGGAACCCAAGTGCAATGCTCTAACCACTAGGCCACCACTACCCGAAAGGATGGTACAACCAGGAAGTTTAGCATGTTTTAATAGGATTTTTTCATAATACAATACATAATAGAGCAAAAAATGTGGTAAGATGTACTCAGGAACAATTCTGAAATGTTTGGCTCCCTGAAGTAAAGAAGCTCCAGAGCTAAGGCTGTAAAATCTGCCAGCAACATCATTACTTATATTTTCCACAAAGGTTTCCTTTTATATAAAAAGTAAGATAAAGAAAACCATTAAAATTTAACTTTCATACCGTGACATGTGAAGAAGATACTTTGGTCTGAAAGCTACATTGAATTTTTAGCTAGGTGTTACGGCAACTTAACTCTGCACCTCACTTTAAGCATGCTATCCCCACAGGGAAACATGGTGGGCAATGTATCATGCTGTGGGTGGTATTCTTCAACTGGGACAGAGAAGCCAGTTTGGATGAATTTAAAGGTAGATGGAGCTATAGGTAGGTAACACTCTTATAAAACGTGTTGAAAAAGAAATGGAACTAGGGTAGAGGTTACTTTGCAGCAGGAAAACAACTTTAAATATCATAGATTAAATGGTCTAGAACAAAACATTTTCATGGGTTATAATCACCCAATCAAAGTCCAGCACTGAATCTAATTAAGAATCAATGTGAATATATGAACATTGATGTTTACTGACGCTCTCAGTCCAGCATGAGACTATAAACTTATGTCCCTTAAATGAAAGTTTTTAGTTGTGCAAAGCTGCTAAAGACATGCTCCAAAAGACTTGACTGTAAATGCTGCATGAGTTTCCACAAAGTATCGCATCTGGGAGGATGACGTGCAGCGAAAACCACTCACCGTTGACAGCGATGATGACTGCGTCACCCACACACCTCCACAGTGATATGATCAGGAATTACTTTGGCTAATATTTTGAAAGATTAGGTATAATACTCTTTTTAGATGCATTGATCTTTACCACTTTATTTTAATACTTTTGTTAGAGCTGATGTAAACACGTGTTTCTCTATGTTTGCAGAAGTTAATGAAGCAATCAATCCAGATTTCAAAAAAAATTTTTTGATTGTGTTTGTATTTCTGTTCTTCAGCCCTCACCTGTTGCAGCAGTAAAGGGTCATAAATGGAAATATTATACATACTGGTTTTTTCTACCGCAGTAATAACAGTATAATTACAGTAGGAGGGGTTTTGAAACAGATGTAAGCTCTAGAGAAACAGCTGAGTTAACCAAATTAAGGTTAAACATGGTGCAGAAAACCACAGAGCACTCTGTGGTTTCAAATTTGTGCCACTTAAATATTAGTCAAACAGCTAAGAGTTACAATATAAGAATGCTAAAAGGGTTCAGAAATACTTTAATAATCCCAGAAGGAAATTACTTAAGTATTTCTGAACCCTTTTAGCATTCTTATATTGTAACTCTGTTTAGCTGTTTGACTAATATTTAAGTGGCACAAATTTACAATATAAGAATGCTAAAAGGGTTAGTGCTTTTATTAGAGCTGGTAAGATTTCATTATTCAGATATTTATAGATTAAATTTTATCCTTTAAATAAAACCTCTGATTTTTTTGGTTTGGTTATTTTTTTTTTTTTTTTGCTTCACATAATGGAAAAACAGGTTCCCATTTTCATTTAGACATTAATTTTTAAGATTTTTTCAAGTTTTTTGCACATTACAGGAGAAAAATTTAAAAGAAATACAGAATATAAATTAAACCCAGCAATATAACCCACAACTAAATTTTAAGACTAAACAGTGCAATATCGGGGATGAAAGAAAATCTTTCTTTACTGTATTTTAAGGTATACATTGTTGTGTCCCGATTTTTACTTTTGTCAAACAGGTATAGAGTTATCTAATTAATTAATTAATCGTATATATGTGTAAATATAATAAGAATAACTTACTGTCATTGTGAGTGCCAACAGATACAGATAGGATCAGCACATAGAAAAGGAATTTATAGGTGTAAAATACCATGTTGGGTATCTAAGAGATGATCCACGCCAGTGAAGCCTGGGTGCGTTCTAAATTTACAGGATGTCACATGTGGTCTGCTTTACTTCCTGTTTTTGATTACGGGGGTCTTTTGGTAGATTTCTTCTATGAAGTTAGGGTAAATCTACAGATTTTATGTAATCAAGAAGAGATTTGTGCTCCATGCATTTTATCTGAAATCAATGCGATGAGGATTTTTTGAAAAAATGCTCAGAACTCCACGTGATTAAATGCAAGGTTTTAGATTTACATTATTCCATTGCACACAGTGATTAGGATTACATTCGACTTTTCAAAAGAATCACAATCAGAAATCATTTTCAGTCATTCAGTTAGGGACATAATACATACAATGTACAATACCTGAAAGGATTGATTGATTTCAAGTCATGTAATAAAATCTACTTTACATGAAAGTAAGCGCAAAACAATCAAATAAGTTTGCTTCGGCTGTGTATGCTACACATTATAGTTTGCAGGCTCAGTTTGCACTCATTACTGTCAAAAATATTAATCACTGTTTTGCTAGTCTCAAAAAATACAGTTAGAGATTTCACATAAAAGTCCAAGTTACTCATTTGGAAAGCATATCTGTGCTTTGCAGCAGTCATAGAGCAGGGAAGGTACATTAGATGGAGTTTACTATGATAAAAATAGAAACCATTCGGTTGGTTGCTGGTAATATTACATTGTACCAGGATCATGCAATATTAGTTTTTTAAAAATCCAATAAGTGTTTTCATCCAGATGTTTTGAGATCAACTCAGCCCTTTGCCAATCCAAGTACATTAGTACCATTTTTTTTTTTTTTTTGCTCATGTACTTTATGAGTGTGCATCTGTTTGATTTTGGCTTACCTAAGTGTTCTGCAGAAAAATAATAAAATAAAAAGCTCAGTTTTCACATGTAAAAAAATGTATTTCTACACTCTAGTTTTTCTGATTTGTTTGAGATAAAGAATATTGGCTAAAAGCTTTGGTTTAGACCATTTAAGTATAATAAAATATATTTATGGCCTACCATATTTAATATTCAAGTTCAGATTTGTGCATTATTGCCTATTGACCTATTTCTAAGAGCGTGAGAACATAATATCACTGATAACCACAAATTGTAATCATAATAATACTGCATTTCTTTCACCTATAAGCTAACTGCTGTTTTTCAACTATTTCCCAATTATCCCTGCAAGATTAGCTGTAATTGAAGGACTTAGGCTGTGTCTGAACATCCGCCCTAACCCCTAAATCACTATATATAGCAGACTTTATAGTGAAGGGCTTTCCTCGCAAAGCATCATGGGATATATCTGCTCATCTAGTGACCATGAATGGTCAGTGATTTTCAAGGTGCATTGTGGGAAATTTGGAGTCCACTACTTTTTCTTCCACTAGACATTCGGACACTCATCTAAAATGGCGAAACCACTATATAGTGTCCTATAAAGTGATTAGGGCGAATATTCAACACAGCCTATGATTCCTTAAGAGGAAGAATCTTAAAAGATGTTTTGAATTAGCTGGATAATCAGAGTTCTGTCTGGATAAAATGATCAGAATTTCTCAACAAAATTTAATTCCTTAAAAATCAAACTTTATTTAAACATTACTATAAATTATGCTATGCTGTGCATATGCATTGTTTTTCTTCAGCTCTAATAAATAATCAAAACTTGTTTGATTTTTGACATGTTTTCTATTGGTAAAGAAAATTTAAACCCCTCATCTTTATCTAAATTACTGTATATGTTATTTAAAACCAGTATATAGTGCCTTATATAGTGGTTAGTGCAGACATTAGGACACAGCCTTATGCTACGTTCATACTGCAAGCAGCAGAGGCACCAGAAGCAGCTAGTTTACATGCAAGGTCAATGATTGACGCGCAACTTGGCCCAGCAAAGGTCCCGCAGTGCATCTGAAGTGCATGACACGCTTCAGAAGCAGCAGCTGCTGGAGTTGAAAAAATTGAACTTTTGCTGCTCGATGCGGCACATCAACCAATCAGAGAAGCTGATCTGGGAGCTGGCAGGGAGACAGACACAGCACTGCTGATGCAGATCACTATGATCACTCCTCTGAAACAGTTTATTAATGCCTAAATTAACTGATAATGTTGACACCTGTTGGCAAAATATTATTTTGGTGAATGCAGGTTGGAGTATGTACGTTAAAAAGGCTGACATTTTCTTCCAGTCGCCGCAAACAGTAGCAGAACACCACAACGAGGCGACAGGGCCTGAGGCAGCTGTTGAACTGGATTCCTAGTGATAGCGCACCGCCGGTGTATGGGGGTCTGACAGCGAAATAATTTTTATTTGAAGGCAGGATCGTAATCTTGATTAACTGACTGCATAGATGAAGTTTTCAAAACATATTAAAACTACTTTTACCCACTTACAGCAAATATATATATAGCTGCCATTGTTATACGCAAAGAAAGGATAGGGTAGCTCAGCCCAACGTGCATCAGACCCAGTGTTTGACTACAGCTAGAGCAGCAAAGATGCTTCAGCCACGCGTCAGAACTAAACTTGTACAAGCATCAAAAATGAAGCAGTACGCCCATTTTTGCTGCTCCTGCTGCTTTCGTTGTGAACGTAGCATTAGTGTTTCCAATAAGGTTAAGTTAATTGTAATGACCTATGCCTATTTATAAAAAAAAAAAATAAATAAACAAAGAATTAAATTTTTGTTGTTGTTTAGCATCTTTTAGCTTTATGTTTGCTACATGGTGATAACAAAATTAGCACACTTTATTTTAGGTATTAAACCATTGGAGGAAAAAAATAAAACAATCTTTAGACAGCTCAGAAGTTACTTTTAAAAAGGCTGTTAGCTCTTTTAGTTCTTAATTATTTCACTACCATCTAGGTAAAAATAAATTTAGATTGTTAGGTTCTAGCTGGCTGAACACCTTAGTTGTGGTTCTTTGAAGCATCTTCTCAGGACTCTTGCACTGTTTTTCTAACCAAAGTGGTGGGATAACCTACTTATTCATCTCAGACGGCCCCTCATTGAGTCATTGCTGCATAGTTCTTGTATTTTAGCACCAAATACAGAAGACAGGAAGAAAAAAAAATGCAGGCTGATGAAAATGACACATCTGTTGAATTAACAATCATTAAAAATACAGTTACGTTTCCGTTCGGTTTAACCTTTGAAGAATGAGAAACGTGCTTTTTAGTCAGTAGTTTGCAGTGACGTTGAGGCACTTATCGGGGTTTCAGCAGGAACATTTTCCACCCCAAAGAGAAAAGCAGTAGAAACCACAAACCTTCAGTCTTTGATTCAGATCATCCTTTTTGCGTGTGTGTTTTAGCAAGTCCTTTAACATATTTTATTGTGAAAAAGATCAGTGTTTCCAAACTTTAATGGGGGCCATGATTTGAATTGTCTGTTTCCAGAATCATGGATCCCTGCTGTACTCCTTTAAAGAATCTTGGTCCTCTAGTGTGATTTAATCCAACAGACATTCAGTCATTATGGCAGTCGTATCGCTGCATACTCTGTCTCCTCTATTTGCATCTGTGGCCGGGGTGCTTCTCTTTGTGTCGGCCCGTGGTTGAGAGCAGCATAGACAACAGAGCTGGGTTCCTGCTCTTGCGTTACATTCCTCTGTCTGTTTCTCTCATTCATCCTTGGACCGGGAAGCGGCTCATTTTCTCTAGATGTCGTCAGCTCTGCAGGTTGTCCTGGTAGCTTTCTCTCACTGGCTCTTCTAGATGGCGGCAGGTTGGGGCTTCCTCTTGGTGAATATCGAACCCCATCATGGACGGCTTGCCCAGCCAAAGGGATCTCAATGTACTGTAGAAAAAAAGTGTGACAACTCAAAATAAGTTAAAAGGGTAAAGGCATAAATATTAGATCAGGTCAAGCTGAGGAATATTTACCTGATTTTCCATTTTTTGCTCTTCCCTTGATTTCCCTGCAGGTTAAGCATTTTGTTAAATAGCCATTACACACATCAATAGTAAAAAATTAAAAAAGGTTTAAAGAAAATAAAAAACTCACTTTTACATCCTTGCATGCATATAATGGAAATAATAATTACTATGATGACAAATGCACCAATGCCAGCAGCGGAGTACACGTACATCCAGAAAATATCTTTTGGTTCAGTTTGGGGATCTTCATCTGTGGGATCAAATAGAACATAATAAAAATAAATAAATAAAATTATATATTCAGCTTAAAAAAAAAAGAAAATTTTTTGTGTCCTTTAACCATCAATACAAAAGCTGATATATTCATCCCTTTTCCTTTTACAAAATAATTTTTCATTTTCAAATCAAAAGCCAAATTTAAAATGACCAATACCAACTAAATATTGCTTTATATCAATGCGGCAAATGATTTATTTCCAGTTCAACAACTTACAACCCTGGAAAGCAATGTAGAACAATAGCAATAATGTTTCTGTGAATTTGGTTTGATTTATGGTGCATAATATCTCGAATTGTCTACATCTCAAAGGCCAAAAGAGGAATCAGAAGAAAAATGTGTAACACTAAATCTTACATAAAGTGTTGTACAGCTGAATTAATTTAAATTTAAGATTTAAGCCTTTATTTAAAATATTTTTTGTCGTCAATTTATAAAAACGCTTAATTATATTACCGTATACACAGTACTAAGTGAAGGTAAGGAAGTGTAAAACTGTAATGTTCAGGTAAATTAGAAGGATACAATTATGAACTTTCCTTACTTGTGTCGTTGTTTATTGCTTTGTTTGTCTTGTTAGTGACCTCAGTTTCATCTGAAAAACAAAACAGACTTATCACCATAACCAGATATAGAAGCACAGATGCTTGTTAATGTAAGGCTGCTTTGATCTAATATTAGTTGCGGTGTGATTAGACATTAGAAAACTGTAAAACCACTCACCAATAACTGTGATATTGATGATATGACTAACACTGCCTTCAGTTTTACATCCATATCTTCCAGAGTCATTTTTTTGGATCTTTTGAAAAATAAGGAATGAAACTCCTTCCAGAGGCTTGATCTCCTCCCATCCTGTTCTAATGCGATTGCTGCTGTTGATGATGAGACGGTCACGATCGCCCTCTATTTTATACCAGGTGACCCTTGGTGGTGGATTGTTGCAGAATAGAACTGGACAGTCAATCCTGAATTTCTGTCCAGAAACCACTTCATGATTTGTGTGTCTTCGCACTTGTAATACAATGCAGTCCTCATCTGCAGCAGGAGACAACCAGACATGAGATTTTACACCTGGACACATCTTTTACTGAATTATTAACACTTTGAGTAAGACTTGCCCTGCTGTCATTTCACAGGAAAACTTTAGACACCCAAAGTTTGACCACTATTGATTGGACGGTATATTTCCACTTATTTTAAAAAGTTGAACATTATACATCATTATATCTTCTATCTTTACTACTTTTCAATTTAAACAACATACAATGTATTTAAAATGAATTCAGAACTCAAGATGGAAAACGTCTTTAATTACTATTACATTAAAATAGAAAAAAAACACCATATCTTTCCTATACAATATATGTTTGTCCTATAGCAAAACACCCTCAAACAGACATTTATAAAACCAATATATGATATTTTGGTTAAAAAAAAAATGCAAAGCTTGTTGAAAAATGTACCTCTACAAGTTACTATAAAAAAAATCAAAGTCTATATGCTGAAAGTGAGAAAATATAAATGGATAACATAAATGTTAAAACTAACGATTGCTTTTAATATAACAGACAATTTCTCAAATCATGTGTCTTTCACAGTCAGAAAGAAATCAATTCAAGCCCAGTTTCAGTTTTTGAATGAAAATGATGCTAAATTTAAAGATTATGAACCTAAAGCATAACATACTCTCAATCAAACCGCTAATTTTCATATAAAGCATTCATTTTGTTTCAGGTGTTTTAGACTAAACCCTCCTATTTGAGCATTATATCAGTTCGGCAGCATAAATGGTCGGCCTGCTTTCTAGACTTCATGTTAATATAACATAGTCACTGTGCATGATGATACGCTGTTTTCTGGATAGGATGTAATTTTACTGTAATACGTAGGATACATTTTAACGATTATTTTTATAATTTTTTCTATTTGGTTTATCGCTAAAACACAAAAAAACGACAAAAGGAAATGTTAATAAATCGGTTCTTTTTTGCTCAATATAGATATTTTCTCTTATGTGGTTTTAAACTCTGATAGTTTCCATGCATCTCACATTGATGATTGTCTATTTTGTAATTAAATGGTAACCAAAGTGATGTTTTCAACAATAATAATAAAATATATATATATATATATATATATATATATATATATATATATATATATATATATATATATATATATATATATATATATATATATATATATATATACTGCTTATTAAAGAGAACTGACATATCTGTAAAAATGCACAGGCAGTATGTTATCTATTGTTCCTTTAAAAACATCTTTATCTGACTTCCAGCAATGATCTGCTTTCGCCTGTGGATTTCTCTTCATATAAATCAGCTGTTTCTTCTTTAAAAGAAAAAGCTATGAAAGTGGTGAAAGAAATGTCACATAAAGAAGACATTTTCACTTACTGTCAGCCTTTGTGGTGAGGAAGAGGATGGCCCAGATGGACAGACTCAGTGCAGTCCAGAGCTGATCCGTCCTCATGATCTCTTCCTTTACAGTTCAGTTACAGATGGCTCTGCTGAGGAGTAATCCTCCGAAAACATTATTTTCTTAAACAAAGCAGTTAGAGCTGCTTCCTCCTTTCGCTGTCTCTACTCCTAGAAACATACAGTACCTGTTTCCCTTTAAACATAAGAGACAATAGTTTTTGAGGTGAGGAGCAGTCGGTGGGAGGTCTCGCTTCTGCAAATTGTCCAACTCAGTGAGGCGTCTCAGAGCAGGGCTTCCCCTCATTATCCAGCTTCAATAAACATCATTTTCTGAACCCAAATCCACATCGTTCTCACAATCTTTCTGTCACTTCCGAGGCTGCTTTCAGTCTGTGCACCTTAACACCGCCTTCATCACTTCTTGACAGTCTCTGTGGTTTGCAATCTTCAAGCTGACTTCCTCTCATTCTCCTCTTCTTTAATCTTCACCATGTGCCTCTCCTGCAGAGCTCTGCGACCTCCTGCAGAGCACCTGTGGTTTCAGTGGAAGATATGTGAGGCCTCTGTTGAGCAGCTGAGGACCCTGCGGCCTCTTAATGGCTTTAATGCCCACTGTGTTCTATTTGTTTGTGGTTTTTATTGCATCAACGCCATCACCACAAGAACACTTTTTTTTCTCTTTCAATCAGCGATTAAGATTTTAAAGAAATATTTCAGTTTGGTTGTGTAATATCAATAGCAAAATATTAGACAGGTTTATTTATGTATATTTTTAATAATAAAATAACTGTATTCAAGTGGGAATGCTTATGCATTCCCACTTATTGTTTTTCTGTTTCTCTTTATTATTATTATTATTATTGTGTGAATGCTGTAGGCATTCACACTATTGAGATCCTGTTTCTCTTTATTCTTTATTTATTTTTTTATTATTTTTATTCTTCCGACCATTTTTTGTAACGCTACTACTTCTGCATACTTTGTGCTATTTCAACCATTCAAATTTCACAATATTCAGCTCATTTAGGACATGTCGGCTATGTCTTTTTGTACTTCTACCTCTTTTGCTTTTTAAATTATTCTGCTTTTTCTGAAAATTTTTGCTTCATTGAAATGAATGGCATTTTGCTAAAATTCTGCTAAATCTTCTGCTATTTTGCTCTTTAACTACTTCTGCATACTTTCAGCTAGAAACACCATTCAACTTTTAAAATATTTCCGTATCTTTCTGCTATTACTGTTTAACTCGGCTTTTTGCTAGCTTTTACAGTTTTGCTTCAGTGAAGCTTCAAACTTTTAAATAATTTTTACAGATTTTCAAATTTATAATGGAAGTCTATGGA